TGGATTTCATGGACCAATAAAATAATAATAATAATAATAATAATAATAATAATAATAAAAAAATACCTGAGTTCTAACACAGAATATCCACCTTTTTATCTCACCCAGTAAGGCCAGTAAAACAAACAAAACACAAAATAAACCTATCTACTATCATCAACATTTCCAGAAATAATCTCAGAACTTAAAAAATTAATTAAGCTTTGTGAAAAACTCACTCAACTACTGACATCTGAGTATGATTGATCACTTATTTTATAAAGAAACCAGAGAAGTAGATAACTTGTCTACATCTCACTTGAGGCAGAACCAAACTCTTTTGCCACACTATACTTCTCTTCTTGCTCTCATGGCTAAATAATGTCAACATTTCAAAGATATACTCTCCACTTTAAGAAAAATGTTTGAAAGTGGGGTTCAACTGTAAATCAGAAAAGCTGTGGGTGGGGGTGGGGTGGGATGAGTCAGGAAAAAATTCACCCAAGGGAAGAAAAAGAGAATGAGCAACTGAGAATAACGAATTTTCAAATACTTACCATTACACAACTACCCAAACTGAGGTGTTGAAGCTCTGAGCAGAAGTTCAAAATGCTGAGCAGTGCTGTTTGCTGCCCCAGGGACCACATCAGAAGCAAACACAGAAAGTGAAAGAAAGTGAAACAAAGAGAAGAGGTCAATTAGACATTAAAGGCTGTCACTACTTCTCCTGAAACAGAGCTCAAAATCCAGGTTACAGACACCACAAATGCCATTTAATGAGTCCCCAGGTGCTCCCACCATTGATTGGCTGGGAGTCAAGGTAATCATTACCAGTCTCCAAGTAAGTTGTCACTTTGCATGTGGTTTTGCATGCCCTAAAGATACCTATATTCCCCATGACCTCTCATTTTATTTCCCAAACGTAAGCAATTTGAAAATCTGGTTAAGGCTGAACAACAAGACAAGCTAAACAACCTCCCCCTCCAAAAACAAACAAATAAAAAAAAACCCACAGTGGGCTGGTGACACTCTGAGGAACAGTGGCAGCTCTGACATTCACCGATCAGCAGCAGCCTGATGGAACTGCCAATAGAGTTGCCCGAAATCAGGATTGAGCTGGTGACTTTAATGTCAAAGGATTCTCTCCGCTGACAAGGATCCCAACAACCATTGAACACCTGTCACTAGCAACATGCTGACTGAAACATATATAACGTGCACTTTCTAGTTATGTTCCTGCCATTTCAGCCCATCTATCCTGGGCAATGCAATGAAACGCTCGCATCACTCAAGAAAGCCAAAGAAATGCTAGGCTGTGACATAATCCTGATAACTAAAATATTTCTAAAGTCATAACTTCATTTGATGACATGTCTGCCATGAAAACTTGTAAAAAAATGCAGAACATTCAAATTTCTAATTTTTATATTCTAAATGAAGAAAAAGGCTACTCCAACTTTGTGGCAAAATTTCTTTCTACATATTTGAACTAAAACATATCTAAGAAAGTTAAGATACTATAAAACCTATGTTTAATCTGTTGCAAGTGTCCAGAATCTGAACAATATTAGTTAGGGAGAGGTTGACAAATATGTCAATGACAATACAAAACATCTGTTCAAACCCAGATAAGATTCTCAATAAGAAAATAAAGTAATGAAATATTTCACATAAAATAAACGTAAGGCAAAAATAAAATAATCCTTGTTATAATCGGCCCTAGAGAGATACTAGACTTAAGACTGGTTCACTATTGGGTGTTTCTTTAAATTTAAGAAAAAAGTTTATATTGATTTCATGCTTAAGTTTTAATACAACTTATAACATAAAAGGCAATCCCATGTAGCTCTCAGAATGTTGACATTAGAAGAGATATATGAAGATAAGTTAATTTTCAGATTCTCCATAATACTTAGCTATTTTAACTTATTAACAGATGGGGAAATGACATGGTTTGTTTTTATTAAAGTATCAGATCCTTACAACAAGATGCTTTGTAAGATTTTCCCATGAGCAAGATCCAGAATATATCAGAGAATTTTTAGAGAGGATTCCATATATTCTTGTAAGAAATTTTAAATTCACACACACACATACACACACACACACACACACACACTTTATCATAGAATTTGTTTGGTAATGTAGTTTTAAATTACTTACTACAAATAATTTCAAATATACAGACAAGTATAGAGTCCATAAAACAAACATCTGTTTTGCCTTCTTGGCTTATCTTTCTCTATTTGTGTATCTCTCCATCCATTCGTATACTTCCTCAGAGGTAACCTTTATCAGGATTCATTGTTTAAAAACATGCCAAAGATTATATTTTATTATACAGTATGTGTCCATAAATAGCATATAATATTGTTCTCCATGGTTTTTATACAAATGGTATTTTATTATGCATGTACTTCTGCATCTTCCTTAACAGTGTTTGTGAGGGATTTGTCCATGTTGATACTTACAGCTTTAGTTCTGACTTTTTAATTGTCTACTATTCCATTATGCAAATATACTACAGCATAGCCCTAGCTGGTTTGACTCAGTGGATAGAGCATCGGCCTGTGGACTGAAGGATCCCAGGTTCGATTCCATCAAGGGATCAAGGGCACATGCCTGGGCTGTGGGCTCAATCCCCAGTAGGGGGCGTGCAGAAGGCAGCCAATCAATGATTCTCTCTCATCACTGATGTTTCTATCTCTCTCTCCATCTCCCTTCCTCTCTGAAATCAATAAAAATATATTAAATATATATATATAAAAACAGCATACACTTTCACTCAAGGAATAGTTTGCTTACAAGTTCTACCATAACAAAGAATGTTAGAATAAACATTCTTATAGTGCTTCCTGTGCATTTATAGAAGAGTATTTCACTAGAGCACATACTAGAGAAGAATTTCCAGGGGTTTATGTATGGCCGACGTTATTAGATTTTCCAAAATAGCACTCCGAAGTGATTGTATTAATTGACACTCCACCAGCTGTGTAAGAGTGTGGGGTCCCCACATTTCTGCCAACATATAGTCTTCTCATTCTTTTTTATTATCTGTCTGATGAGTATGGAATGGTATAATTTGCATTAGTGTAATTCCTAGTGAGTTTGAAAATCTTTTCATGTTTATGCGCCAGTCATATTTCCTCTTCTGTAAACTGCGTAATCATATTTTTTTATCGTCTAAAGTTTTATGTATGTCTCCTTTTCCCCCAATGTGTGTGTGTGTGTGTGTGTGTGTGTGTGTGTGAGGTACAGCAGCTTCCTGTTCTTAGAGGTGGTACTTCATAACCCTTCTGTCCCAGGCAGATCCCTTGCAGTGGTTCTCAATTTTCTGGCCCTTTAAATACAGTTCCTCATGTTGTGACCCAACCATAAAATTATTTTCGTTGCTACTTCATAACTGTAATGTTGCTACTGTTATGAATCGTAATGTAAATATCTGATATGCAGGATGGTCTTAGACGACCCCTGTGAAAGGGTCGTTCAACCGCCAAAGGGGTCGCGACCCACAGGTTGAGAACCGCTGCATTAGGTTGTTTCTTCCTTCTTGACTTGTAGGAATTTTTTTTTTATGCTGAATACCAATCTTTGTCAGTTACATGCATTACAAATATCTTCCCTAAATCTAAGACTTGTCTTTTTGCTTTGTTTATAGAATCTTCTGAGACATGAAATTTTAAATTTTAATAGTCACATCTATCTTTACATGTGTATTCTGCTGTCTTTTCAAAAAAGTCCCTCTTTGCCCACAGAAGGATATTCTTCTATTATTATTTTTGAATGACAACTTTAAAATTTTTCTTCTTTGCACTTAGGTTTTAACCCAACTGAAATTGATTTTTGTACATGGTAAGGTACCAAATTTCATGGTTTTCTCCTTAGGAATAACCTCTTGTCCCAGTTCAATTTACTGAAGAGTCTATCTTATTCACTGATTTGTGATGCTTTCTGTCATATATCAAGTTCCCTTGTATGTGTGAGTCTACTTCTGGGTCATTGTGTTTCACTGGTCTACTTGCCTTTTCCGACGCTAACACTTCAGTCTTAATTATTATACACGCAGGCAGGAGAAGGGAGGCCCACGAAGAGAGAAACAGAGGCCTCTGGCCAACAGCTCTAAGAGGAACTCTGCCAACAGCCACATGTAGTAAGTCTATAAATCTAGTAAGGAGAATACCCTTTCTTCATTCTGTAAAACACTAAAGAGCCTTTTGCTCTTTCATATTTTAGAATCATCTTAAAATATTTTAGTTTACCTTTTAAAAAATATGAAAGATTCATTTTTCTTTCTTCCCCCATGATCATTATTTAATTTACTGGCACTTTATCAATTTCTGTGTCATTATCATTTATTATATCTGACACCCTCTTCCTGAAATGTTCTTGTTGAAAACTATTTTTAATAGTTCTTTTAGTAAGCATCCATGAGTGGTAAAATCTTAACAACAAACATATACTGAGTAGTTATTAACATGTCAGCATTGCTGTAAATTCTTTTTCTTAAAATATTCTTTAAATTGTTGACAGTATTACAGATATCTCCCATTTCCCCCTACCCCCTACCCCCCACCCCCAGGGCTTCATCACCCTAATGTCGGTGTCCATGGGCAGTGCATATAAATATATTTGGTTTATCTCTCCTTGTCCCCCCACCCCTACATCAAGGTATGCCTCCCTGCCTCAGGTCTTATTTTGCTAGTCAATTCATTTTGTTCATTAGATTCCACAAATAAGTGAGATTATGTGATATTTGTCTTTCTCTGATTGGTGCTATAAATTCCTTATATAAATTAATCCTCACAACACCCTGTTCATTTAATAAATATTTATTGAATGCCTACTATGTGTTAAGTACTGTTCTGGCACTTGGGATATATCAGTCTACATGGCAGAAAATAACCTATAAGGTACACATCATTATTCCTATTTATAGATAAGGAATCTGAATCACAGAAAGTTAAATAATATATTGAGCCTTTAAATATCTCCTCAATCTTGAATGAGTTTAGCCAGGCGTAACATGGATTCCAGTTATCTTCTTTTATCATTTTGAAAGTTTTGCTCCATTACCTATCAGCCTCCATTATTTTGATAAGAAGTCTACTGTCAGTCTAATTATCTTCCTCTGTAAGTAATGTCTTTTCTCTCTGATAGCTCTTGTCCCTTTCTCATTTATATTCTGCAATTCCATCACATGTCTAGGTAAAAATTTATTTTAATTTATCCTGTTTGGTATCCCAAGTGAACATTTATTTAAAGACTTACATCTTTTTTTCATGAACAATCAAGATTCTTAACAATTCTCTCCTCAAATATGGCTTCTCCATCATTTTTTCCATTTTTTTCTTCTGGAACTCTAATTAAATGAATTTTGGAGTCTCCCAAGTACCAGTGCCTATAGTGGTGTTAAAAATATGTCCACAAATTGTTCTATACTTCTTCCTCCCAGAGGTGAAACGTAATTCTTCCCCCTTTGTGGATGGGGATGGACTTAGTGACATACTTCTAACAAACAAAACATAGAAGTGACAGGTTACTATGATGGCTAATATTACGTATCAATCTGATTAGGCCACAGGGTTCCCAGATATTTGGTCCAACACTATTCTGGCTGTTTCTGTGAGGG